AAAAAAAAAAAAAAAAACCCGGTCTGGGAGAGCGGCGGTCTTTCGGCGACCGTAGCGTCACGCTGTGCCCATTTGGGTTGTTGTCCTTCAGAGAGCCGCCTCTGAGGCGCTGGTGCCACACCTGCCAGGTCTACTACATGGGGGACCTGATCCAGCACCGCAGGACGCAGGACCACAAGGTACGAGGGCCACCCGCAGGCCCTGTCCCCGAGCCGAGGGCTGGGAGGAGGGCGTCAGGGTGGTGGACAGTCGGTGTCAGTCTGTCTCTGCGTGGCCAGAGCACGGAAGTGTGGCTTCTCAGTGAGTCAGTCACACATCTCGGGGCTTCCGTTTCCCCATCTGCCCCGTGTGGGCGAGGCACTGTCTGGCTCTGCCGCTCAGCCGTGGGGCTCCCTCTGGGCGGCCTGCCCTCTGCTGCCCTCTGCCACCCCGTCTCGGAGCCAGTGGCGCAGGGAAGGGCCGTGCTTGCCCAGGCTCTGGTTCAGGGGCAGAGGGCAGCCAGCCGGTTGCAGCGGTCACGGCGGCCTCCAGGAGGGAGGCGAGGCCTCGCGGGGCACCGCCCGGCTGCACTGGGGATCCTGCCCGCCGCCCACCCACGCGCCTGCGTGGCCTGCCCTCCTTTCCCCAGATTGCCAAGCAGTCCCTGCGACCTTTCTGCACTGTTTGCAACCGCTACTTCAAGACCCCCCGCAAATTTGTGGAGCACGTGAAGTCCCAGGAGCACAAGGACAAAGCCAAGGAGGTAACCTCAGCTCCCTCAGAGGACACGGGCCCAGAGAGGTACAGAGTCTTGGCCAAGGCCACACAGCAGGCCGAGATTTATCCCAGCCCGAACTCCTAGCAGGTCCAGAGGGACTGGGATTCCCAGGGGTGTGGGGTGGGTGGGGTTTGGCACCTTGGCTGCCCAGAGCTGACCGGAGCCCTGGCCCCCTCCCCCGGGCAGCTGAAGATGTTCGAGAAGGAGATGGCTGGCCAGGATGAGGACCACTTCATCACGGTGGACGCCGTGGGCTGCTTCGAGGACGGTGAGGAGGGTGAAGGCGAGGAGGACAGTGAAGAAGAGATCGAGGCTGAGGAGGGATTCTGCAAGCAGGTGCTTGGGGGGAGGCGGGGACATGGGGGGCAGGCTGGAGGCTGGACCCCCAGCCCCGGAGGGACCTCACCCCACCTCCCAGGGGCCAGGAGGCGCTGTGTGTCTATAGGCACTGATGCCTGCTACCATTTAGTTTTTGGTTTGTTTTTTGCCCTGGCCGGTGTGCCCAGTGGTTAGCACATCGGCCTGTGCACCAGAAGGTCGAGGGTTGGGTTCCAGGTCAAGGGCACGTACCTGGGTTGCAGGTCTAATCTTCGCCCCCGGCCCGGGCCCGTGTGGGAGGCAGCGAATCGATGTGTCTCTGTCACATCGATGTCTGTCTCTCTCTCCCCCCGGCCCCCGCCTCTTCCACTCTCTCTAAAAGATCAATGGGAAAAAATGTCCTCACCTGAGGATATTTTTTCCATTGCTTTTCAGGGAGAGTGGAAGGGAGGGAGGAGGGGAGAGAGAGAAACATCGCTGTGAGAGAGACACATGGATCGGTTGCCTCCCGCATGTACCCCAACCGGGGCTGGGAACGGACTCGCAACCCAGGTACGTGCCCTTGATCGGGAATCGAACCCTCCACCCTGTGGGTGAGTGGGCTGGTGCTCTAACCACTGGGAATGCCGGCCAGGGCCCATTTAGTAATAGTAACTGTATTCTATATGACTATGTAAATATATATCATGAGGACTCCAGGGTGGCAGGGAAATATGTGAGGGCCTTGAAGCCTGGCTGAAATCTTGACTTGTGTCAAGGAAGGGGAAGGGCAGCCTCGGCCAAGGGAACAGCATCGATAAAGGCAGGGACTGGGGACCGATGCAGCACAAATAGGAGAAGTCAGTGTAAGATGCCGCTGCTGCTGATCGCTGGGGCCGTTGATATTTTTTGAGCACCTACTACGTACCAGGCATGTCCCAACCACTTTCCTTGGATGCCAGGTTGTGCTCAGAACGCCCTGCTGCTCTGCCTCCCGCAAGTGAGGAGCTGGGGAAGCGTGGATTCTTTTCAGTTCAATAAATGTTTCTGGTGCTGGACACCAGGGATGTGTGGAGACCAAGGCTTGGCCCCTGCCCTCATAGACCTCAACGGTTACAGTGCAGGGTGGTGACGGGGCAGCCGAAAGGGGACACAGAGGGACTGTGGAGGGTTCCAGGGGTGGCCCCCAGCCCCAGACAGGTTAGGGTGAGGCTGGCTTTGCTACTCAGCGTCCAAAGTGGTGTCCCGGGCAAGCCCCTTGGTATCTCCAAGCCTGTTTCCTCTGTTCAGATATAGTCCCAACTCAGGCTGCAAGGGTCACAGCCCAGGGTGGCAACCAGGAGTGGCTGTCACTCTTAGAAGCCACACTTATTTGCTTTGTATGTGGTGGAAGGCTCTGTGAGGCCTGGTGAGGGTGGCGTGGCTGGGGTCAGATGGCCTCATCTGGAAGGGGCTTATGTCCAGTGGGAGAGACGAGAGGTCCCAAGTCACCTGAAACCCATCCCCTAGGACTGAGGTCACTGCAGCATCCAGGGCCCACCCCACCTGCATTCTGGGGGGGGGGGGGC